TGGGTGACCTTGGGCAAGTCACACTCTCTCAGCCTCAGGGGAAGGGCAAGGCAAACCTCCTCTGAATACATCTTGCCATGAATTAGAAATGACTTGAAGGCACACAACAACAACAACAACAAAAACAACAACACCCAGCATGAGTCCCAAACTGGGAAATTGGGAAGAAAATGGGATATAAAAAGGAAAAGGAAGAAGGGAAGAGGAAGAGGAAGAGGAAGATAATCCTATTGGTTAGTCCCAAATGGAGTAGACCCATTCAATCAATTGTTGTTGTTGTTGTTGTTGTTTTGTTTACTTATATTTCACCTTTCTCCCAATATAGGGACTCAAGGCAGCGGAGCAGCAAATTTAAAACAATGCAATTTAAAAAGAGCCCCAAAAGCCTTAAAATATATAGATTTAAATGGCTGGATGGTGAGTCACATCCCTTTGTCAATTCCATTGATCCGATGGGTCTGCTGCTCTAATAAGGATGAACAATAAAATCCAATAATCATCACAAGTTGCACTATATCACATCATACGTACACACTTGGATATAGTAGTTTTTAAGTGCTTTTATCTTTTCAGTTGTGTCCTGTTTTTAAACAACTGAGCTGTTTCAACTTTTCAATAGTTGAATTCTATTTAAATTGTCACTTGGGTAAGTTTTTAATGGTGTTTTCATATGTTTTTATTGTGTATATATATATATATATATATATATATATATATATATATATATATATATATTAGACTGTGAGCCGCTTTGGGTCCCAGTTTTGGGAGAAAAGCGGGATAGAAACTAATATAATAAATAGTTAAATAAATATAATTATTTTATATGCACAGCGGCCTTGTAGCACCTTTGAGACTTAAGTGAAAATGAGTTTATATCTGCCTTATGTGTGTTTTAAAAGCAAACAAATAGCAGTTCCAACAATGTGAAAGATGCAGTGAATCACATATTTATTTATGATAATATTTATTTATTATTTATATTTATTATATATTTATTTATTATATGATATTCTTTATTTATTTATTTATGCATATTTATGAGAGTGGTTAACAAAGAGAACTATTTAGATGCCATTAGCAATGCTAGTAAACACCAACAAATTCAAATTATTCTGTTTGCTATCCATTCCAAGATACAGATGGATAAAGTATATAGAAGGATAGAACTTATAGTAGTATATATATATATATATATATATATATATATATATATATATA